TATTTTTCCTTAGGAAAGAAAAAGGCTAAACCAAACTAATCGTCTCTCACTTTTTTTTGCAGGAAGTTGAGAAACATATGTCCCGTTTAAGCTACATCCCATCAACCCTTTTTTCAACAGAAGTCACATTGGTAGATTTCTTAGACAGGGTGCACATATCCGAGGTCAAATTGCGTTCAAAAGGCTTGTGGGATGTTCCACATCCATGGCTCAATCTTCTAATACCCAAAAGCGAAATACATAATTTTGCAGAAGAAGTCTTTGGGAACATCCTAACAGGAACTAGCAACGGCCCCGTCCTTATCTACTCAATAAACAAATCCAAGTAATAGTTCAGAAAATATTAACTCCTCAACTATTTTAGCCCTCAATAATACTTAATTGACATGACAAGTAATGATGTATTTATGTTATTTACAAGTGGGATAACAGAACTTCTGTTGTCATTCCAGAGGAAGATGTTTTCTACTTAGTGGCATTTCTTGCATCTGCAGTTCCCTCTTCCAATGGAACTGATGGCCTAGAACACATTCTAAGTCAGAACAAAAGAATTTTAGAATTCTGTAAAAGAGCACAACTAGGAGTAAAGCAGTATTTGCCCCACTACAGTACACATCAAGAATGGATGACCCATTTTGGTCCTCACTGGGAGACTTTTCTGCAGAGAAAGTCTGTTTATGATCCATTAGCAATACTCGCTCCAGGCCAACGTATATTTCGAAAAGCAATACGCTTCTTATGACCGCAGTCTCCTCATTTTATTATTAACAATCTCAAAAAGAAAAGTCTCTCGTGCATGCATATGCGAAAATGAAATTGTTAAATGATCATACAGGTTTGGACACGGACCATACTGAATGCAAAAGAGGATTATTGATAGTAGAGAAATAGAGATCACAATATGGATAATGCAACAACAGAGCAACTTATACAATAAGATTATGTCAGAAGCAACTTATACATAGCAATAGAGCATGATCAACATGAGCCTAGCAACTTACCTTCCGAAACCAAAATTTCCAAACATTCCAAACATAACTATTTTGAATTTAAAAGATAACACAAAAAGCACAATCAAATCAAAACAACCATTCTGTAATAGAGAGATGGAGATAGAGAAAGAGTTTGAAATGGAAAAAAAAATGAATCGTGCAAAACAAACCCTAAAATTGAAATTGAAGACAAAATCACAAGAGATATTACCACATGAAGATCCAAAAGGAGAATGAGTTGACGCAGCCATTGAAGCTATACACAAAAGATAGAAGAAGCCATTAGTGAGAAGCGAGAGTGAGAGTGAGATGACGGTGAGGAGTGAGGTAAAAGATGAAAAATGCCTTATGCACCCGGTGTGAGGAATTTTTTAAAAAAGAAGTTCAAATAAAAATTAATATTAACGGTAATTTTAAAAAATTGTCACTATAATTAAAGTTTTATTGGCTAATTTTTATTGGTCACTAAAAATTTTAGCTAATAATAATATGCAGACAATTATTTTATTGCCACTAAATAATAGTCGCTAATGATGCTTTTTGTTGTAGTGTCGTATGTACATTGCAAGACGCATTGATAACGTTGAATATCAAGGCCTCTAAAGGTCCAATGGTTGAAAAAAGGTTATACTCTCTCTCTCTTTCTCTCTCTCTTATTTTTTGCATTAGACACAATAATTACTATACTTAATTATTTATAATAGTGTGGTACTTCTAATTTGTTATGTTTTGAAAGTCTCTCTTTCTCTCTCTCTTATTTTTTGCATTAGACACAATAATTACTATACTTAATTATTTATAATAGTGTGGTACTTCTAATTTGTTATGTTTTGAAAGTCTCTCTTTCTCTCTCTCTTATTTTTTGCATTAGACACAATAATTACTATACTTAATTATTTATAATAGTGTGGTACTTCTAATTTGTTATGTTTTGAAAGGGTGTTGATTGCATTCAACAAAGTGGCTCAATCTATTTTGTACAAGAAGACACTTGATTCTTGTGAGAGTTACACCTTTCCTCATTCTTTTGTTCTTTCTCAAGATTTTCTATGTTGGTTAAAGTTTTTAATTGATGTAGAATGTGAAGAATGTGACATTCATTTTATCTCATTAAACTTATAACTGATATAAAAGACATTTTTTACACTGTTATAAGTTAATCAACATAGAAAGTATATTTTACATTTATTTAATGTCTGTGTAAAAAAAGTGTGCGCACATTCTACATCAGTGGGATCAACATTAGTATATTGTTGAAATAAAATTAATTATGGTTGTTTAAAGTTTATCTAATCTAAAAAAGGAATAATTTTATTGACATTATCTTATACTAAAAGTAGGATATATAAGGAAATTTATACGGTGATTTTTTTTATATAAATATAAACTAAAAATTATTAAAAAATAAAATTTTAACTATTTTTTAAAATTAGTTATTTATAAAATTAATAAATACTTGATATTAATATAATTTTAAAACAAATCTATTAGATTGAGGTAACATTCCTCCAAGAATAAGAAAGATGTTGCTTTGTTGTGTGATTTCCTTATCATGCGGGTGTAATAATTTAAAAGACGTAACATCATATAATTTTTCTACATCTTCTTTATTCAAATAAAGTCAATGCACGTGCAATAGAAAATTTAAAACATATTGTATATGTGGTTTAATATCTAATGCTTGCTATTGTTCCGCTTTCTCACAGAGCTCCTTCGAAAAAAAGATTACGTGGTCAAGGGTCCTGACCTTGTCAGTCATGGTGGTAAGCCTGATATTCATTTGCTTCAAGAAATTAATCGTCAATAATTGATTATCGATTTATCTATATTTGAGGTTCTAAGAAGTGCCGGATATAGTAAGACAATTAAGACCAATGTATAGAATTCTTAAATTTATAAGGTCTTTAAGTTTTTTAAAAATAGTATTATTGATATAAAATTTTTAAAAAATTAATAATATTTAAAATAAGGATCAATATTTTATAAGATACATATTTTATATTTTTTTATATCTTATATTTTTTTATTATTAAAATTACTTAAAAAACACAACCTATTTATTAATTTTTGTAAATAAAAAGTTATTCAACACTCAACAGTCATTACTACTTATTTTTATCTTTTTTACAGATGACAGATTTTCAATCTCTTTGTTTCCTCTCTAGTCTATCTCTTTCTCATTCTTTCTCCATTTTCATTCACAATTCCTTCTTCGCGTTTAATTTGAGAGCTTGATTGGGAGCAATACGGTCTTACTCTGCCTTTTTTTCTAGGTTAATTCCTACTTTGTAAGATCCTTAAAATTGCTAAGTTAGTATAATTCTGGGTGTTGGTTCAATAACATCAACGCATTTTCTTAGTTATCACCATTAACAATCTATTGTAGTGCACTTCTTACATGATATTGCATTTTGAATTTGTCATGGGTCATCCCGGGGATCAGTACGCGTATTCTTCTTTATTGAAATTGAAGTTTGTCATTGTGGCAAGATATCTTCTTTCCATGATTTCCTGCGTGTCTTTGAAAAGCCAGAATCAAACCCTTCTAAAACATTGTAAATTAACTATTAATGCATGAGAAACAATAATTTAGTACAATAGTTTTATTTACAAATTACAATTTTTAGATCTCATTTTTTTATTGTTTATCATCGTAGGTGCACGCAAAGTGATTGTCACTACGGTTTCAGTTTTGGATACTCATAGTTGCGATAGTGCATAGCCATAGCTTAAAAAAATTTCATTCACAGATATAATTTTTCATTTTCTAGATTTTATTGTTATCTTCTTTTAATTTTAAAAATTATTTTTTTATTATTTTATTTTAGCCAATCAGTAAAATATATCAAAGTATGTATCTGGTTTTGAAAAGTTGAAAAAAAAAAAAGAAGAATTGAAAAATTAATTCAAAAATTATAGAAAAAATGATTTTGCATCTGCATTAGAATCCATCAAAGAAATGGCTATTGAAATGGATATAAAGCCTAAGTTCAATGAAAAATGTAAGATTCTTAGGAAAAACACTTTTTGATGACATTGATAGTGATTAGATAACTCATTCTGCTGAAGGTTCTTTTCACATTAATTATTTTTTGTATATATTAGATCAGTCTATTTCTTCTATTGAGAGTCGATTTGAACAATTTTTAGAATATGAAAACATGTTTGGTTTTTTATTTGATTCAAATAAGTTTAAAAGTTTAGGGGAAGATGAATTGAAAAAATATTGTATCATTCTTGACAAGATTTTGAGTTTTGAGGACCATTATGATATTGATGGTCTTGATTTATTTTCAGAATTAAAGTTATTGAAAGAAATTCTAACAAATGAAATTAACACACCATTAAAAATATTAAACTATATAAAAAAAAGATCATGTTCTTTTCCAAATACATACATTGTTTATAGAATATTATTAACATTACTTGTAATTATTGCGACTGCTGAAAAAAGTTTTTCAAAATTAAAATTGATTAAATCATATTTAAGATCAACAATGTTACAAGATAGATTGAATGAGTTAGCTATATTATCTATTGAGAATGAGATGTTAAAATTATTTGATTATAAAATTTTAATAAATAATTTTGCAGCTCAAAAAACCAGAAAATAACATAAAAATTATTAGTCTATATTAACATAGACTTTTGTCTTAATTTTTGCCTAAGGCCCCAAAATTCCTAGATAAAACCCTAGTTCTAAGTTGTTTTTTTTTTAATACTTTATTGTTTATTAGTTTTTGTCTTTTGTTTGCATCATAAATCAGAAATATACATAGATTATAGATTTCTGTTATTAAAGGTTAGATATTAATTTGTTCAATGTTTTAGGTTAATTGACCTCCCCCTCTGCGTTTCCAAGCTCCAAGTGATGTGCTAGAATAATGGTAATAATTTACCAACAATATTTAGAAGGTTAAGTCTCAAGAATTTTACATTTTCATTTAATTATAAGTTATTGTATATTATCTTTGTTTCTATATAATAAATTTAAATATTCAATTCACTAATATTATTAAAAAAAATAGTTAATTTAGTTAATAATAATAAATTTAATTTTTTAAATATTTTAAAATTATTTTTAAATTATTTTTATCTATTAATTAATACTCAATTCTATCTTAAGTGCATCTCTTTCTCCCATAATTAATATTATTTATTTTTCTCATCAATCAGAATGCATATATTTTGAGAAGTTTATAATTAATATATTTAATTAAATTAAGAAAAATATGTTTTAATTAGGAGTGTTTTAATTAAAAAATAAATAAAACATCCAACACTATGAACTAATTCTTATATAAAAAAAAAAAAATTATTCTAAATCAAGTCATGAATAAAATGGAGATAATATACGATAATTTTTAAATTTTATAATAACTATTTTAAAAGTCATATCGGCAATTATTTTTATTGATTAAGAGTTTTTTTTTTAGGTTCGTTCCTGGAGTATCCACAGCCGACAGCAGTGACTAATCTCCTCGCTACGTTGGAGGCACCTCAAAGGGTGGGATAAGAGAGAGAGAGAAATCCATTTACTTCATGAATAAATTTATCTAAACTCATATCACTTAATAATTCATGTTCTATATTAAATTTTAATGATTTGTTCATTGAATTAAAAATTCTTAATATATAGATTAAGTTCACAAGATTTAAAAAAATTTAAAAATTATTTGATATTCTATTTCATTAATTCAAATTAACATATGATGTTCTCGTGATTATCCATCAATCTGAAATGATAAAATGAAGTATTAAATAGTTTTCAATTTTTTAAAAACTTTGCAAACTTGATTTATATATTAAGAACTTTTAATTTAACAGTTAAATCATTAAAATTATATGTATAATGAGTTATTAAGTGAAGTAATTAAAAATAGACTTATTGTTGAAATAAGTGGATGCTTCTTCATATATATATATATATATATATAGAGAGAGAGAGAGAGAGAGAGAGAGAGGAGGGGTCAATTTACTCCAATAATAAGTCTACCTATACTTACTCCGATGTTTTATATCAAATTTCAGCGATCTAACAGTTGAATTTAAAGTTCTTAATCATATATCAAATTTGCAAATATTTTAACAAATTTGAAAATCATTTGATACTTCATTTCATTAATTCAAAATAATGTATAAAATGATTTTATGATTATCTGTCAATTTGAATTAATGAAATGAAGTATCAAATGATTTTTAAATTTTTAAAAATTTTGCAATCTTTATCTATGCATTAAAAACTTTAAATTCAATGATTTGATCATTGTAATTTGATGTAGAACATGAGTTATTAAACGGTGTAAGTTTAGATAAACTTACTTTTAGAGTAAACAAATCCTCCTCATATATATATATATATATATATATATATCAAGATCCATTGACACCAAATGTGAGTCTAAACACTTATATCAAATCTTATATCTTTAATAATTTTTTATATAATACAAATTTAATCGATCACATTGTTGAATCATGTGATTTATACTCAATATTATGTAATTCAAATTTTATTTGATTTTAACTTTTCTAAATATTTTATCTAAATGAGTATTTACACATATTTTAAATATCATATTATATGTTAAAATAAAACAATGTGATAACTATAAAAAGAAAATTAGAATCATGTAAAATTTGATATACATGATATTGTGTATGAAATCACATAATTCAACAGTTGAATTGATTAAATTTATATATTAAAAAGTTACTAATAATTAAATATTTAGTATAAGTGTTTAGACTTATACCTAATGCCAATAGATCTTGACTCATATATATATAAACTCTAAATCATAAACTCTACATTTATATTAAGTGAAATAAGTATAAATGAATTTACTATTAGAGTAAATACATTATTTTTCTATGTATATACACATGGTTAATAACTACATTTTTAAATATGCGGTTATAGTTAACTTTTGGATTTTTAGGTACGTGTGATGAAAAATAATTTATCACGAGAGATTAATTTTTTAAATAAATTATAATACTTAAAAAAAATTGTCGCCAACTCTAAGATATTCAGAATGAAAAAAAAAAATAGAAGAAGGAAAAGGGTACATGGATAAAGATGAGTTGAGCAGCAGTGGATTGCATACCCGAGCCAAGTTGGAAAGTGGGACCATTGGTGGATGCCGAGAGCGCACGGCTCGACTCAGCTTGGTAGCCAACTGGACTCAATGACGTCACCTCATGCTCCTCTCCTGACGTCATCTTACCCATCACCTTCCTTCCTTGCGCGACACGTGGCATCACTTCGATTCTTGCTCCATTATCTCACTCGCACCCGCGCGTGTTAACATCTCACATACATGTTAGACTTATGGATAGGTTTCGCATTCAATGCTCACCAAACTTGGATTCAAACTAGCCAATTAAACCCTTCGTTTTTGGGATAAATTTTCATGTGGCCATCTCTCCTTTAATACAAAATATACTACCATATACATTCAATTTAATAACTATAAAAATAAGTTCGGCCTTATTTATTGTTTACTCAAATTTAATTTATTAAATATCTATTGCTGAGATTATTATTATTATTGTTATAATTGATATGTTCATCAAATTAAGCCAAAACTTGGTGGGTTAGCTTGCTGTAAATTCTGATTTTATGTTATCAATTAATTATTCAAAGACGTTTAATAGGATCAATTTAATGGTAAAATTTAGATAGTTTACACTATATCTTAAAATTCAAATATTCTCGTGTTATTGTACACAAAAAAAAAATGATAGTTAAATAAAGTAATAGGAGTATTTAATATATAAAAGTGTCTTGACTTAAACGAATCAACATTTGGATTGGAGTTTGCAAATTTAAATTTTATAAAAATAATTTCAACTGAAAGTAAATTTGAATAATTTCACTATATTTATGATTTTTCTTATTTAAAAGTGATTTTAATACAACGAGTGTTGTTTATATATATATATATATATATATATATATATATAT